GTAATAGCAATAATAAAAAAGTACAACCCCGGGGGGGGTGTAAGGAGTCGCTAAACAGTTACCATTTTACTTCATAAGAATTTCAGAGGCTATTATATTAATATTTATTTAACAAGCATGTTTCTCTAAATGTATATAAGCCCAGGATCGTTAGTTTTTTAAAAGACAGATCTTGTAGGGGGTGTTTTAAACCCCAACCGACACAATTTAGATCACTTGGGAGGCGGGCTGCTAAGCCCTGTCTGTCAGGACCAACTCACGCCGAGTGGGATACGACTTCTCAGATGACAGAGAGACAGACATCACATACTACAGGCTACTAGCAGAAACATCTCCACACGGGAATTAACCTCAGATTTTTCTGTGTGTCAGACGCTGAAGACTCGAACCGCTACACCGTTGTTTGTTTTAGTGTAATCTATTTTACGGCACTTGCAACACAATTAGGTCAACGCAGATTAGAGATGTTACAGGAGAGTAAAGAGCACAAAAAGAGGGAGGGGGGTGGGGGATAAGGACGATAGATGTTTGATAGGAAAGAAGGAGAAAATCATACCAGAGCACCCGCCAATCATTCACACCGTTACTACACCACATTACACATGTTACAGGGTCACTAAATGAACAGCAAGGACTGGCTAACATACTTCGAACAGAACCATCATAGACAGATAATAGTATACGTCCACAGAAGGACCATTCGCTTATCCAGCTATTTTGAATCCCATCGGCAATGCCATAAAATTCGAGCTTAAATGTTACTCTTTCATAAATATGAGGACAAAGCTATCTCACATTGCAACACACGGCAGAGCGATAATAATTAAATGCATTGAACACCTCGTATAGCAATACAAATTTCAGGACGAACGCAAATGTGCTGGAAAACACAAATAAGTTTTTCACAGTACTTTGGGTTAAATAGCATGCTAGCAACGTTCATTTCATCACATTTTGTGCGTGCTGTTCTTTATTTTTACGAGTTGTCATTCATGTTCTTTGAGCCCGAGACCCCGAGACCTATTAAATGAGAGGCAAACACTTTAACCTCTTGGCCACGAGAGCCCCCCCCCCC